GAGCCACCCGCGTGCAGCTTCACTGGAACTTTGCACCGCATCCACTGTCGCGCAGGTCCCCAGGCTCCCTCTGCTGCCAGCCATGTGCTGGCGCGCCTCGCCAGTGCCCCCGGTGGCCAACAGAAGCACTTCCGGCAGGACCTTGGCCCCTCAAGCAGGGCTGAGATCAGCACTTGGCACCTTCTGGCACCCAAAAGACACTGACGAGCGCTTCCACGTGGCTTGGCGGCAAGACTGCCTCTCCCAGCGTCCTTGGCATGTCCGGCCGCGTTCGGTCTCCGTCTCCGCCGCTCCCATCGCTTCCCTCGTTACCCAGTCCGCAGTATCGGAACCATCCTCCCCATCTAACCTAGCATCTCAGTCTAATCTATCACCTGTCTCTGGCCTTCCATTGGGCACGCTGGAATCTTGACAAATGTGAGGACTGGGAGGTGCTTTCTCTCCTCCCATTTATCTGTTTTCCTCGGGCTTCTTTTGTTTAGGTCTTTACCATTTTAAGCGGTTGTAAAGAGGAAATCCTGCCCGGCGCATTCCCAGCACTTCTGCCACAACGAATGGCTAGATTGTTTTCCGCTGGCTTTTGGCTGGTGTTGGTCATTTTTAGATTTTGTATGTTCTATGTGATTTTGTGTGTTTTTATGCCTTTCCCAACCTCGCTGAATCCGTGTCTGCTGGAACCACGCAGACCTTCCTCCTATCCGCAAGCCTCACACCGCCGACTTGCCTGGGCCTCGGAGCTCTGCCAGGGTGGGGAGCTGAGGTGAGGGACGGTGCAGGCATCTCGACCCGGGTCCACTTCCAGGGTGTCCAGCGTCTCTGCCGCCCCAGACCGTGAGCTCCCGTGGGGGACGCCATGCAGAGAGACGCGAGGCCCTGAGAACAAACGCTGGCGCTGGAAGAAGGAAGGCGCTGAGACTGCCCTCTACTGGCCATCACCATGTGGTGCAGAAGGCCACAGGTGAAGGTATGGGATTCTTGCATGCTTATGAGATGTCTCCAGTTAGCTCTCCTAGCCTGGCCTAGACCAGGTTTTAGAACAAAGTTAATACTGGCCCCATAGCTGGGCGCCAGTGGCTCACGCCTGTCATCCTAGCTACTCAGGAGACTGATATCTGAGGATCACGGTTCAAAGCCAGCCTGGGCAGGAAAGTCCATGAGACTCATCTCCAATAAATCACTAGACAACCAGAAATGGCATTGTAGCTCAAGCGGTAGAGCGCTTGCCTTGAGCTGAAGAGCGCAGGGACAGCACCCAAACCGAGTTCAAGCCCCACGACCGACAAAAAAATACTGGCCCCATGAAGTGTGGCAAATTCACAGGCGCTTGAAGTCAGGCAGCCCCAAAGCCCACGCCTGCACCCTGTGCCTCCAGGCTGGGCAGAGAGAGGGTGCGTGCCTTGGTGTTTACTTAATTGCTCCATCCCTTTCTCCATCTCTGCTTACACCAATTGTGGCGTTTTGGAAGAATTTATGTTTTTTTCCCTTGTCAGTTATCAGTATAAAGTTCCCTATAATACTCCGTTAAAAAATACCTTACTTTGTATTATCTATTTGATTCTCCCTTTTTTCCCCTTTTCAGATCCCCTCCCTCCACCCCTCTTCCCCCCCTCCACTGATGTTTAATCTCAGGGTTTACCCTGAATGTTCAGCTAGTTTATTTGAGGCTTGAGCCACGCCCCCAGGTTACAGGAATCTCACCTGGCCTAGCTTCAAACCACAATCCTCCAGGACTCAACTTTCTAAGTAGCTTGGATTATATGTGTAAGCCACCAGCACCCAGCTGCACTTCAGGTCTTAAAAAGTGTAAATCACCTATGTTTATTGGATTTCAAAGGACATTTTGGTTCCCTTCAGTGTTCCAGGAATGGTGTTGTAGCCCGGTGGTAGAGCATTTGCCTAGTGTGTGCCAGGGCCCAGAGTTGATACACACACAGAGTTCTCCATTTGCTCTGTAAAGTTTAACTATAAATGTGTATATACAGAACATACAAATATTATAAATGAATATGTAGCTGTGTGCTAAAGTTTATCGATTTTATCATTGCTGTTTTGTTTGCTTAACTTGGATTTTGTAAAGCACATTGTAGCCACCAATTAACCTATTTCCCTACCTGCTACATCTGTCCTTACTCTAAGAAGTGTTGAGCCTCATTGTATGTGTATTCAGACATCGGTAATGCTTTTCACCCTGCAGTATAAAACGCCTACCCGGCTTTTCATTGTGTGGTTATCTTTTCTACCCTTTAGTTAGGTCTCTTACAGTCAAGGTTCAGTTGGGTGTAATTGGCTTTTTTGTTTTTGTAGTGATAGCAGGTTTGGAGCTCAGGCCCTTGCGCTTGCTTACTCAGCTGGAGCTCTACCACTTGAGCCATGCTTCCAACCCTGCTTTTTGCTGGTTATTTTGGACACAGAATCTAGCGGACTTTTCTGCACAGGCTGGCCCCAAACAGTGATCTTCCAGATCTCAGCATCCTGAGTGTAGGATCACAGGTGTGAGTCCCCACGGCTCGTTCAGTGTTCTAGTGCAGTCTGGAGCTCTGCTGGGGATGTCTGGTGCAGCCGTTTGCCTGGGGACTTGTTAGGCTGCTCCCTCCTGGCTGGCTGCTCTGGTCTTTCACTGAGGGTCGGCCCCAGATTCTGTCTCCCACTCGGGAAAGGCCCTGCCACCCCTCGTGGGCTCCCCACCTTCCCAGGGCCTCAGGCAGCAGGCTTCCATGCTGCCCCGCCTCAGCCAGTGCCTCACCAGTTCAGCCAAATAGCCAACACAGGTCTCGTATTCTCTCTTCAGCCCTCTGAAGGCACAGATCACCATTTTCTGGCTTTCGGCGTTTCCTCTCCTCTGCCTGACTCCCCCTGCCCCTTCCCCTGGTCATCAAGAATTTCTCTTCGCCCTGATGTTCTCCTCTCGTCTATCTGCAAGTCTATGGAAGGTCGCTGTGTGTCCGGGGCTGGCCTGAACTCTCAGTCCTCTGGCCCTGGCCTCCCAAGTGCTGGGATTACAAGCACACCCAGGCCCCATGGCCTTTAGTTCCGTGGATGATGGTGCTCTTGTCTTGCTCTGTCCTTGGAGACGATCCGCCTTTGTGCTGGGAACTTCCTGTCCACCGCTGCTTCACTTCCGGGACCTCGGCAGAGGATGCGGTTCGAGCTTCCCCTGACCTCTCCCAGGACGCTTTCCGTGCAGCGTTCTCTCCTTGCTCTTCCCTGCTGCCCCAGAGGCCGCGCCCAGTCAGGGGCGCTTGGTTTCCAAGTGTGCTGGAGGCCTGGCTCCTCTCTCTGCGGTGGTGGCGCCTCCCGCACCCCTCCCGTGTCACACAGCGGCCCACCGGTGAGCTCCCGCGCTGCAGGCCGACCCCGTGTCCCCTACTGAAGAGTCCTGAGCCCTCATCCTTGCCCGGGGCCTTCTCTGCCACAGGGCTGCCAGCTGCCTTTGCTGGCATGAACGGGGGGGGGGGAGGGAATCCCAGATGTGCGGGGCCTTGGCCATGCAGGACAGGGAGCAGGGTCTCAGGCCGTGTCCCGCTACCCGGTGCCTCCACGCTGTCCACCCCAGCCTGCTGTCCAGAAGCTACCTTGACGGCCCCACCCGGCCCCACCCCATGCCCCTGGGCACCAGCTGCTTGCTTTTTTTTTTTTTTTTTTTCAGTAGTGGGGCTTGAACTCCAGGCCTGGGCGCTGTCCCTGTGCTCTTCAGCTCAAGGCGAGCTCTCTAGCACTTGAGCCACAGCGCCACTTCCAGTTCTCTGGTGGTTTATTGGAGATCAGAGTCT